GATGGATGCCCTTCCTTTACATTGCCCTTGATAAAGCAGTAAGGCTCATCAAAGTCCACTGCACATGTGCACAGACACACATTGGTGCCTTTCCTTCCCCCTTAGATCACACAGCCCATAGCGGAAAGAGGAAATACACTAACTTTTGAGGGCAGCTATGGTGGTTCTGTACACTGACAATAGCTTAGTGCTAGAGACTGTAAGGTATCTGGTATCCCCACCCAGAATGTGGGAATCAAACCACATTTCATTCATAGATTTGACACCAATGACCTCTGTTGTTACTTTGCATGTGATAGGAGTGTATTAGGGTTGGAGAGAAGGCTCAGCAAAACTGCTGCCAGACCTGACAGCCTGAGTTTGATCCCTGGGACCCACCTGGTGGGAGAAGTGAACCGGTTCCTGTAAGCAGTCCTTTGAACTTCATATGCATGCCCACACATGTACACAGACATGGGCACTCACAATAAGTAAATTAAAAAGGCAATAAATGAAAATAATTTCCAAAAGTGTATTAGTATTATCTCAGTAGCAGATAACTTTTCAGGGAAATATTTTTAACCTACAATTGCTGCTGAGGAGGGAAATATAATTCATGCATACTATTGGCTGTTTTTTTTCCTTAGATGGATTCAAAGGCAAATGTTTGACCAGGAAAAGGGACAGTGAGACTGTGCTGACAAAATCCCCAAGTTGTTAAAAGCATAAGGGATTCTTGCTCTTCAGTTATGCCCAGCTGAAGACAGAACATTTTCTCCTATGATGTATATGTCACTTTCCATTAATTCTGCAGGGCCTGTCCCTTTAGAAAGCAGAGTAAACAGTGTAGTGTATTGGATTAGATCTCTACCGTGAATAAATTTATTTTCTAGCAAGTGTAAAAAATGAGCAAGGCCAAAAGCCCCTAGAGCAGAAAAATGTCACAGTGATTGCTAATACATTACTGCACAGAAAAAGGGCTAATAAAACTGCTATTAGGATGTCATACCTGCTTACGACTGAATTCTCCAGAAAGTTTATTTGATATGTCTAAGCCAATTATCAAAGTCTTAGTGATAAGAAGCTGCTCGATGGGCCTGAATGTGTCAGAATAGAATGACTAAATTGTGGGAATTCATGGGCTTCTGCTTTGAATAATTAACTTGGCTCTTTGTAGAATGCATACACTTTGGAAACTAATTTTCTCTTTTCACAAAGCATTCTGCCCTTGTGTTGCCTTTGAAAAGTAAACTGTTTAGCTGTAAGGTTATTCCCTTTTCATTATATTGGCTTGTGCTTCCTTCCCTGTCTCATGGCCCCACCCTTCCTCTTACTCTTTGTCTTGGTAGCATCATCTTGGCAGAACTGCTGTGGTCCTCAAATGGCTATATGATATGCTGTGATGACATTTCCTCTAAGTGGAATTTAATCAAAAAATTTTTTTTCTGCATTGACATTATCGTGCTTTGCCTTTTCTTGCGTTTTGCTGGGACTAAAACACCAACTTTATTTTTAAAGGATGTGAAGGCATTTTTATCCCTTTCAGAGGAGCAGAAATGTTGGTTGCATAAATAATTCTGGAGATAGAAGCCAGAATGGGTCTTAGTTGATTTGTAATTTCAGAGTTATGATTTGGATCAGAATGGGTAGCTAGTCTGTGTAAACAACCAGAAAAATCAAATGACCCTTTCTGTCCCATAGGTTTCTCTGCTGAAGCAGGTCAGAGCCTTTGCTTTGGAATGGGTACATGAATTTTTCGTCTCTCTGCTGAGTGATGCCATTCTGTGGGTTGGTATATTGGGCGAGAGTGTGGGGGGACACTCTTGTTCTCTCTCTAGCTCCAGGGTAGTTCTCACAATGGACTTCTATGTATTACACATTGATACCATCCACTTGAGACTTCACCTACCTGATAAAATCAGGTTTTCCTCTTTGGAGGCAGTCTGGTCCACAGTTCAGACAGAATCCTTGAGGTGGGAGGTGGGTGAGTGGACAAAATGGAGTAGGGAAAGGAGGAGGTATGTATAGAAACTGTAGGGGAGGTGGGTGTTTGCCTTGTTACACAATGTAAGATTCAATGTTTCTTTCAGAAGGCACCTGTGTTAGACAAATACTATCAGGTAGCCGCACACCTGGAAAAGCCTCCCAAAGATGAATGAGAATGAGAAAGTTATTGAAAGTGATTCAATGCAGTTTGTAGTCTCAAGCTGTATTTATGGGCTATTTATTCCTGTGCAAGAGAAAAAGTTCCTCTAACTAGGATTTTAAGGAACATGTGTAAGAATACTTGTTTTCTCCCTAGAGGAATGAATTACTTTGCATTTTGGCCCTCTCAAAGGGCTTCTAGTAAACCGTATAGGAAGGTTTAAATCTTTGCTTAAAATAAACTATAAAATCAAATTTTGCATGTGACAATTTTCTTTCACATTTGTTCAGAAAAGTCTGTGAAACTGGCTAAGGTCAGTCGAATTTGTAATGAGGTGAACGTGAGTCTGTGGAGATGTAGTTATTTGTAATCTTTCTAAATAGGAGGATATGCAAGTGTATCTGGGAAAAACATGCTAGCTACTACCACCTCTTCTTCTAGGTCTACTTCAAAATGTCCTACGCAGGGTTTGGGAAATGGCTGAGTTAGTCAAGTACTTGCCTCTCAAGTGTGAGGCCCTAAATCTAATCCCTATAATCCACATAAAAATGCCAGGCTTTGGTCTGTGAGGCAACTGATAACAGTACTTGCTAGTCCGATAACCCTGTTTTGGTCTGAGTTTGAATCCTGGACACCATCATGGAAAAAAAGAAAAAATGACCTCCACAAGTATACTATGGCATGCATATGCCCCTTTCTCCATATACATAAATGAAGGAAATTTTTAAAATGTCAACTGTGGTGGTGTGTGCTGGGAGACAAAGGAGGTTCTTTTGGGCAGCTAATCCAGTCTAATTGATGTGCTCAAGGGCAATGAGACACCCTGTCTCCAAGGAGGTGGATGGCATTCCTTAGGATGAGGTTGGAGGCTGTCTTCCTGTCTTTACACAGATGTACATACATGTGCATGCACACTACCCACATGCACCTACATGAGCACACACATGCACATATTATGCACATGATAAAAAATATATGCAAACTCAGTTTCATGGAAATGACTCTTTCCTCACTTTATTCCCTTTATTTACACTTTTTTACTGTAGCCAGTGAATTATTAAATATACACCAAGGGAAGCAAACAAAAAGAGTCAAGAGCAAAGGCTGCTGGATTCTCAATCAATGACAACCATAAAAACATCTAGAGTGATTCTTTGGGAGGGTAAAATAAGAGCAGAGGCTTGAGAATAAAATTATTTTTTTCCCATTTAAAAATATGCTTTTAGGAGGGAGTTGGTGACGATCATAAAAAGCAAATAAATAATAAGATTTCACAACTCCAAAAATGATTAAGAATCACTGCTCTGAGAACTTAGGTTCTAAAGAAAGCATCTCACATCTGTACAAGTGTCTCTTATACATATGCTAATCAGTTCCACTGGTAATTTTAGCTTTTGGTTTGTTTTCTTCCTGTCATTATTTTACGTTCTTATTTGCTAGACTCCATATGCACATCCGTGGCAGTGGGTGGTGGTGGTGGTGCTGCACAATTGCTTACCATTCAAGTTTGGGAGAATATGGTAAGAATATGTAATAGTCCTTTGCGTAAAGATACTTTTCTTCATGAGGCAGAACTTGGTGAACCCTTTTGAATTATAAAGGTTTTGGATGAATAGGAGAAATAAAGGACTGCAGTATAAATTTATATCTCCAGTCATATTAAAACATTTAAATATGTCTGACCATAATGACCTACTGATTCCATTTCATCTCTTAATGGATTGTGTGAAAATGAAATACTTAAAGTACAGCCTTGTGGCAGATTTACAAAAATCATTTATTCTTGCTCTTTTTGCACCTGGAGATAGAGAAACACTTCTCAATTGTAGCCTCTACCCAGACTTCTTAGGCCAGGTCTAAAGCAGCTACCAGGAGCCAAGAATGATCTGCACTGGAAATGAGGACAGCCAGCCAATTCTTCTGAGAATAGGGCCATTACAATCTGCTTTGGATTTGCAAGGCACGTGAACCCATCCACATGCAGAGTCCTGCCCTTTGTGCAACACAGACCCAGCAGTTCTGTCTGCCAAAGGTCCTCCTAAGCCTTGCCTCCCCAGGCATGCCAGATCCACTCTTCCAGGTTTCACCATTTATTTTATTACCTCCACTAGGCAGTCAGCATCACATTAATTCATCTGACCTGGTCTTTCCATCTTCCCGTTTCTTCCCTTCTCAGTTTATTGTTTCCTATACTCCCTCAGCTTCTGCCTGCGTCTCCTGGTCCTGGTTCTCATTGGCAAAAACACCCAACAGCCAGAGAGTGGGGGTGCCTGTTGATACAGATGTTGTCAGTGAGTCTCCCAGGACACTGAGCAGGCTGGAAAGGGGAACAGAGACTCTGGAGATGGGGAAGATGTTCGGCACACACGACCTATTGTTTTTGTTCTTCTTTGTCCAATTTTGCTTTCATGAACAGAATTCTAAGCACGCTATTCTCTTTAGTTAATGTTTCTCAAAAGACCATAGTGCTCTGGCCATAAATGGTGATTATTATCTTAAGACATTCAGTTATCTAGACCTTGTCTCTACTTTAAAAAGGAAGGTTTTATGCCTCCCCATCTGTACTCAATGACTTTCCTTCCTGAGGGTCAGCGTTAAAGCATCTGCCTAAAGTAGCTGTCTTGGGTGAAAAATCACTTTAGGGCAGTTGCTGTTGCTGTATAAGACCCTCCTAGGGTTTGATAAAGTGGAATTTACTAGGAGGAAGAGAGCATTCTCAGGGATCCTGGGAGACGAGTGTTATCACTTCTGAGAGGCGTTCCTCTCTTGCCTGAGAAATGCTGACTAGAATTGTTTTAGTTTCAAGACTTTAAATCTATATTTAGATAAATAAACTTGGCATGTAAGAGCTCCAAAATTTCATAATGTCCAGGTCTGCCTTTTGATACTTAATTTTATTTTTTAAACTGTCTTTATTTGGGCCGATGAGACAACTCAGTGGGCAACAGCACTTGTGTGCAGGCCTGATGATCTGATCCACAGAACCTATAAAAAGTAGGAGAGACTCTGTTTCAGAAACTTGTCCTTTGACCTCTACATACATGCAGTGGCATATTCATGTCCCCGTCCTCATCACACACACACAATCACACACACACACACACACACACACACACACACACACACACACACTATCTATCTATCTATCTATCTATCTATCTATCTATCTATCTATCTATCTATCTATATCATCTATCTATATCTAATAGTACTACTAATAAATTTAAAAGAAAAGTAAAAACTGTCTTAATGAACATTATTCATTTATTTTTTTAAGTTAGATCCTACACTTAACAGAAGCCTTACCAATTGGAATTGTCCATATGGTGGTTTGTGTTACTAAGTTCACAAAATATGTCTTATTTTGTTTATTCTGTATTTGATAAGCCAAACATTAAGGGACTTGGGAAATGGGAAAGGCTAATGCATGTCTGTTTTCACAGGTATCACAAACTAAACTAACAAAATTGCATTCCTGGACTTCTTCCAGGGTTTATGGTTGCTTAGGTTATTGATGAGCTACTTCACCCTCAGAAAGAAATTGATAATAGGAACTTTGATATTTTTTTGAGTAAGGTTGTGATAGAACTGAAGAAAAACATTAGGTTTAAGTTCAGATGGTACCTTGGTCTTTTCTGATGCTGTAACTGAATACCACAGTGTGAGTAATTTATAATGAAAGTAAAGTTATTTCTTAGAGTTCTGCAACATTGAAAGGCCAAGGCCAAGGGGCAATGTCTGGTGAGAACCTTCTCACTCTTGGAAGTCCCAAAGCAGTGCTGGAAATTACATGGAGAGACAGAACAAGATTGTTACTTCCAATTTCTCTTTCTCTCTTATAAAGTCAATAATACCAATAAAGCCATGACATCGTAGGCTAACCTAAAAGTTTTTCGTAAAGTCACTAATATAATGTTGAGTCCCATTGTCTCAACCTCATGTAATTCTGATTACCTACCAAAGGCCCTACCCTCAAGTACCATTAAGAAATAACTGAATTTAAGTGTCTAGCACACAAATTCTTGGGAGCAAACCCAAACTGTTGCATGCACATAATCAAGTCATCTAAAATACTTCCTAGAACGAATCAGAAAAATGAGAAATTACCATACATAGTATTTTGGAGTTTATCTTTTGTCACTTTTAGTTTAACATACGTTGTCTTTTTAAAGTGGTTTGTTCTACTGCAGTTTCTTCCTATTTGGGAGGCATAGTCTTTTGTGGAACTGTGACTTAGCCATAGATTAAAAAAAAAAAAAACTATATATATTGGTTACATAGTGCTTTGCAAAACTTACCTAAAGAACAAATGCCATTAAATAACCCTAAGGTCATTTGGAATGCAACCTCATTATAACATAGATTGGGAAGCAGCCTTGGTATTTATAATGCATATGAATCATATTATGTATGCTTATATATTAGAAAATATAATTTTCACTCACGGTCTAGCTGACTACACACTGTAAAGGGTAGAATTGGGTTGAGACTTTGTGCCCTTGGCTAGGGTTGGGACTCTGTACTTACTTCCCATTTTCCAAGCTGGAATTTTATCTGGCTTGAACTTGTATAGACTGCTGCCACAGTCTTTGTGAGTTCATATGTGTATCTACTCTTCTGTGTTGTTTCCTTAAGGTCAATCATCAACTCTGGCTCTTAGAATCTTTCCACTACCTTGTCTGTATAGATTGCCGAGTCTTAAGGGGGTGTGTGTCATAGGGACATCTATCCCATTTAGTGCTTAGCATTCCAAAGTCTCTTATTCTTTGTATGTTGGTCAGTTGTGGTTTTCTGTGTAAATTACCATTTACTGCAAGAAGAAGCTTCTCTGATGGGGACTGAACAATACACTGATCTATGGCCATAGCAATGTTTTTATGAATAATTTTATTGCTATGTTCATTTAATAGAATCATAGTGGTAGGTTTTCCCCTAGGCCCTATGACCTATCTAGCATTTAAATAATGTGGCAGGAGAATTATTTAACATGTGTCTTAGTTTGGGTGTCTATTGCTGTGAAGAGACACCATGACCACAGCAACTGTTATAAAGGAAAAACATTTAATTGGGGCTGGCTTACAGTTTCAGAGGTTTAGTCCATTGTCATCTTAGTGGTATGTAGATGAATTTCTAAATGGTCTTATTAAATAAAAAACACAGAGCCCGATATAGGGCTGAAAACTTAAAAGATCAGGGAAATAGGGAAAACCACAGCTAACCTCAGCTTACCAAGTCTGCACCTTCCAAAGCGAGCTACTTCCTGTCTACCCACACTTATATACCCTTCTATTCTGCCATCTGATTTGCTCCCTCTGTCCAGTTACATCTCTTCTTCTTCCTGCTCAGCTCTGTCACTTCCTGTCTGTCTGTGCAGACCTCCAGACCTCCATGGTTAACTAGTGTTGGAATTTAAGGTGTGTGCCACCATGTCTGGTTCTGTTCCCAGTGTGGCTTTGAACTCACAGAGATCCAGAGAGATCCCTGCCTGCCAAGTGAAAAGATCAAAGGCATATGCTGCCATTGCCTGACTTCTATATAGTGGTTGGCTTTTTCCTCTGATCTCCAGGCAAGTTTTATTTTATTGGGAGACACAGTATATTGAGGGATACAATACATCACCACAGTGGTACATGGTGGTAAGCAGGCAGACATTGTGCTGGAGAAGGAGCTGAGTGTCCTACATCTTCATCCCAGGCAGCAGGAGGATAGAGTCTGTACTGAGTGTGGCTTGAGCACATATGAGACCCCAAAGCCTAGCCCTATGGTGACACACTTCCTCCAACAAGGCTACACCTACTCCAACAAGGTCATATCTCCTAATAGTGCTGCTCCTTATGGGCCAAGAATTCAAACACAAGTGTCTATGGGGGCACAATTGTTCAAATCACCACAATATGTTTAACAGAACATATAGCTGTTCAGCAAACCAAAGAAACACCACCAGATGTGACCATATAGGTTCGGCCATTTCCTGGGAATCTTGAAAAGAAGGCTTTAGTTTACTTGAAGAAAATCAAATTTGGGCTCTGGCTACTCATTTTGATTACAAATTCATCTTATTTTTTTTCTTACTACGTACATTTATGATGTAAATTGTGTGAGAGATATGTCTTGACTAGCAGCCAGGGTCACTCAGAGCTCAGTCAGGGTCACTCTGGGTTCTGTCTTGTGTCAGTCATCTGCAAAACAGGCCCAGTTGTCACCCTTCGCTGGGTAGCCTTCAGGAAAAAGCTAAGTTCACAGTGTAGATTCTGTGCTCTGTTTAAAATAGATCCCAAACCTGTATAATTACTTAACTGTCTCTCTCCTTGGGATCTTGGGAAGAGCAGCAAATTCTCAGTGCGTTTGCTTGTTCTGCTGTGTCCTACCCTACCTGCAGTCACTTCTTAATGTACTTTTGCATGCTTGTTTTTTAAATATGATACTCTCAATATGTCATTAAAAACTGGATTATGTGGGCTTTGAAAAGAGTGAACCTCTTAGAGAGATGTATTTGTTCACATATCACTGTTCCTTAATTTCCCATATTATCTACTTGGTGACAATTAGATATGGTTATAGTGACCTGATTAAAGTTCATGACCCAAAGAAAGACTGGAGACCAGGTAAGAGTGTAACAAGGTGAGAATGGACTCATAGGTTATAGTTCCATCCACTCCAGCGTAAATCAAATGAGTGATTCCAGAGGACTTTTTAAAGCTACGAACTGGAACAAGGACACAATCATCCTCTTGAGAGCTGTGCGTGGACCAGGTGACAGCACCTTGATGCAAAGGGATGCTCACAGCTGCAGCAGCAAGGCTCAGTCACCGCCCCCTGCTTTCTAACAACCTCTCCAGCACCCAGAAGCTTTGGGAAGCCAGAAGCTGTTTGTTTATTTAAAGAAGCTCATTATATCAGGCTTCTGCACATATCCCTTAGCAAATCCCAGACAATCTTGCTTCAGAGCCTTACAGAATTTATTTTTCTCTTTAAGTCTGCAAACAGACCCAGTAGATCAGCTCTCCTCTTTCCTGTAGCTTGGGCATCTATTGCCAAATGCTCACTCCATAGCTATCTACTCCAGTTTGTCCTCTTAGCATGGCATTTTAATCAAGTGGCTCTGCTTAGATAACTCCCCAGGGTTTGGGAGGGTCAGACTCTCACCTTGGCTCATGGCCTTCAGCTTATGTCCCCACTTGATGAGCTGCAGGGGGTTTACTCCCTGGAGCAGGTGGCAATGGCCATAAGAAACTCCCAGATGATTAGCACAGATCTGACAGGTTGAGGGGAAGGACCAGGATAGTTAATGTTTCTTCAGATGATTCTGTGGTGCGCTGCCTTTTTAGCTACTGATGAGCAAGTGGTATCCACTTAGTCTGGGTTACATCTATCAATGAATGACACTGAGGCCTTTTTATTCTTTATTTTTTGGTTTTTCCGAGACAGGGTTTCTCTGTGTAGTTTTGGTGCCTGTCCTGGATCTCACTCTGTAGACCAGGCTGGCCTCAAACTCACAGAGACCATCTGCCTCTGCCTCCCAAGTGCTGGGATTAAAGGCATGTGCCAACACAGCCCGGCTGACACTGAGGCCTTTTAAACACATTACAAATCCTGTTTTCATTAATGTTATGACTTTGTATCTGTCTATATAACAATTTGTTTACTGTGTTTATCTTTCACTCTTAGAATCACTTGGGACTTTTAAAAAACAGAGCTTCATCCCTGGAACTTTGAATTCATTAGCCTGAGACTAGAGGTGTGTTGGGATTGCCAAAACTCCCTGGGGAGTTCCAACTTTAAAGCTAGGTTGGGACTCATTTTTGGGGAGTGCCTATTACATTTGAGGAATGACTGCATCTTCTGCTCATTAGTTTATTTCTGTACCTAATTCAGAGCCTAGTATCCAGTTGGGACGCAGTAAATTGTTGAATTAATTAATAAGAGTTTGGAAATAAGGCAGCTTTAAGCTTTTAAGGACAGGACAATGAAAAGATGTTGAAGGAACTGGGGGCTTTTTCTGTAGATGGCTCCATCAGGTTACTGTGATCCTGATCATAATAACTGCCAGCGTGGCCTTAATGGACCCTCAACCCCGAGACATCTGGGGATCCTCTCAGGGAGCACAGGTCTTTTAGACCCTGGGAGTTTAGAATTGCTGTCCACACAGATCCCTTCAAGATGGATAGCCTGATGGCCACATACTTAAAACTTGTGAAAATCAACAGCTCTCTCTCTCTCTCTCTCTCTCTCTCTCTCTCAAAAAAACAACTTCTAATCAGAAGGAAAAAAATTAAAGCTTAGAGATTTTGTATGAAAAACTGTTTGACTTCATTAGGTGAGCATTAGGGGAGATGGGGGGGGAGAGGGAGAGAAGTGATATCTTCCATAAATGAGGAGAAAATTGCTCACACAGTAATAGACCAACAGATAATTAAAATAAGAGGAAAAATGAGCAAGAAAAAAATTCAAGATATGCTTTATGTGATTTACCGAAGAATGGATTTTTTTTTTAGAAAAGAAAAAGCTGAGGTTTTATTTTCTTATGATAACACTTGGAAATGATTGAACTTGGGCAAAATACAGTGTCTCTAGAAAGATCTGACCCAAGTGGTAAATCCTGAGCAGAATGTGAATTCTGACCACCCTTCCCCGACAGTTTCCAGTTTTGGTGAGTGACCTTGGCGTTCTTTCCTTCAGTCTGGCAGCCCTTGGCTTGTCTTCATGTGGAAGTGTGAGCTCAGCAGCATACTCTGGCCCTGTAGCTGGCTCTGGGGAAGAGAGGACAAGTGTGTGGACAGCTTGGGGACAGGGGGCCACTGCCAGATGCCACTTGCTGCTAAGGGTTACCAAGAACACCGTTGTGAGAAGAATTTCAACACCCGACAGTGCCTCTGCCTTTTGTAGACTGTCACTCAAGGAGAGTCTGCGCCCCGTGAGCTCTTTACCTGCTTCAGCTCCCTTGGAAAGGTAGGAAAAATTTAACCAGGCAGCCCTGCTCTGATGCTGATCACAGAACAGTTTCAATAAGTGAAATGAGAACTCTTTCATTGTCTCCCCATTTAGTTACCCAAAGGTTAAACAGTGTCAAAAAAAAAAAAAAACAATCCACAGGGTATTAAAAACTATGTAATAAATATCTCTGTGGAGAGAGGTTTCCACTTTTAAAAATAATGTATGCATTTTTGATCATGTATCGTACTTGACAGAAACTATTTAGTGGCTCTCTCTCTCATTTTACTGATTCTCTCTCTGTCTCTCTCTGTCTGTCTCTGTCTCTGTCTCTGTCTCTCTCTCTCTGCCATATACTGCATGCTTGTGGAGGTCAGAGGACACCTTTTGAGTAGTTGGTTCTTGCCTTTCACCATTTGAATCAAGGTCTCTTATTTCTGCCCCTGTGTTGTGTACTCCAGGTTGGAAGGCCTGCATGCCTCTGGTAACTCTCCTGCCTCTGCATCCCAGTTCACTGCAGGAGTGTTGAGATTGCAGAATCATGTCCTCAACTGGACTCCATGTGAGTTTTAGAGACTGAACTAAGGTGATCAGGCTGGACGAGGAAGCACTTTAATGTGCTGATCCAGGCCTGGCCTCTCAGTGGCCCCCTTTCATGGTGGACAAAGTCCTCAAATTTTAGCAGGAATTGAAACATGGTATCAAAATGGATATGATATGGGACTAGAAAGTAAATTGGCAACATCATCCCAGGAATTACTCTTTAGTTACTGGTGGGAAGGATGCTGTTGGGAAGCCCATTCCAGTTGATAAATTTTGACTTTATAATGAGACACTATAACTAGCTAGATGTAAGCACAGCCTATTAATTGATGTATAGATTTCTCCAATATCTAACCTTAGCCATGTCTTTGGCTTTTCTAACTTCTCATGTTAGATGGCAATTTCTAACTTTGTTGAACTCACTGCAGGTTCCTGTAGTCACTGCTGTTTCCTGTCTTCTTTCTCTGTACACACTGTTTCCCTGGCTTGGAATGTTCCCTCACTGCGGTTCTGGAATCCTCTTCATCTTCCTTTATGATGGCTCAGCTGCCTAGCCTCAACTCTGTCACTTTAGAAGCCACCACTCCTTTTTGTACTTTGTTCTTCATGGATGCCTCAATAGAGCACCCTTTACATTGCAATGTCAATCATTTATTTATATATCTAGCTCTTCACCAGACTGAGCTTGTGCCTTTCCACATTCTTGTCCCCACACGTGATAGGTTCTTGATGAACCACTGCAGAGGTCAAGTCTTCCCCTGCAGGGATATTTTATGTGATTGAGAACATCTTTTTCCACAACCTTCCTCAGTATTATCTTATGCAGGTTAAATAGCACTAAATATTTTAATCTTTCTTCAGTGAGCTTTTTGTCTTCTTTTGAATTAGCTTTGTTCTGTTTTTTAAAATTTTATATATATATATATATATATATATATATAAAATAATTTCATTATTTAAAAAGTAGTGGTTCATTCTGAACATGGAGCACAGTTGAGGTATAAGATGATGAACAGAATATTGGAAGGCTTATTAAAGAATACAGGCCATATTCCTTCTCAAGTATTAAAAAAAACCATTTTCTTGCAACTGGCCTGAATGCCCCTTCCGAGGAATAGCTTTCATGGTACCAGAAGGTGGCATGCAAACTTCTAAAGGAGGGAGGCATCCAACAGTCTTACCCAGACCTGATGTCTATGAAGCACATCGAGGACCAGCATAGCACTACAACCCTGTGAGTGCAATAGTAAGCACATATACTTTGACCCTAAACAACTTTCTAATTGGACTTAAGACCCACTCTCTGGAAACCTAGCTAACTAATCAGCAATAATGAAGTCATGGTTATTGGGGGCGAATCTATCATATAGTAAACCAGCATAATCCCTAACAGTAGTTCTCCTTCTTTCTTCCGTAGCTCTTTTAGTCAGCAAATCTCAAGAGAGCTAACATCTGATCTTCGTTGCCACTGTTTGTGACAGTGTCTCACTATATAGCCCAAGACATCTTATTGTCTCAGTCTCCTCCATGCTGGCATTAATAGGCAATGCCACAGCTTGCTTGGAAAGTCTTTATATTTTAAATGAAGGTGGCAATCATTTCCAAATGATACTATAAATAGATACCTAAGGATTAAAAAAAAAAGCTTTTCTGGGGCCTTGAGTGGTAGGAGATTTGTAGACTGGAAACGGGCAGCTACAGCCCTCCTTCCATCCCTGAGCAAGCTCTGGCTAAACTGTTTTACATAGTGTGTTTGCTTAAGAGAGAATGTTTGGCACTAAAGTTAGAAAATTCCCTTCCAGTCTGGAAATCAGTGATTTTGAATGTCAAACATAACGATAATTTGATTTCTACCATTATTTTGTGAATACCACATTAACAATTTGGGGGAATTGCATTACAAGTTGCTTTATCCAATGATGTAATAATCAAATAAAATGCTTTCTAATCCTATTTATTCAGCTTCTCTCTGTTGTTCTTAGTCTGCTTTGAGAGCACTGTCAAATTGAATTTGCCATCCTCTGTGTTTGCCAAAGTTTATTATTTCAATTTACAGCGGCAGAGCTGTTATAACCTGGTCTTTCATGTTCTCTGTTGTGTTAGCTGTGATAGTGTGCCAATCTGCACAAGAGAGTAATTATGGCAGGACCGCTTCCTTTGCCTCAGGAAAGCAAGGAACCATCTCCCTGACATCTGGAGGGATCCTGTGTTGCAGTCTCCAGGCAGAATCAAGACCAAGGGACTTATTCATTAGTACTTTAAGAACCCTCAACAAAACACTATTAAAATATTTTCCCAAAGTCACAAGTAGACTGGTTTCAAGTACAGCATGTGCTATATTTGAGAAAAGATGGTTTGAAAAGAGGGAGACTGAAGAGTCTCTAAAAGCATTTTAGCTCATTAGCCAGAGAGCATGCAGGGCAGGCTGGGTCTGTTATGATACCAGGGCATGCAGGTTCAGAGTGAGATTTCCACAGCATCCCTGGATGTTTCAGGCAATGTCTGCAGCCTGTTCTGAGGCTAGTTCAATGGATTAGTTGCTATGTCTCGATAGACTAGGTTCAGCTTGCCCATCTATAGTCTAAAACATTGTGCCCCAATGCCCATATGTGCCAATGTGAGGAAAGCGAACAGGGACAAATGACCTCTTTGTTAAAACAAAATATGATAGTGATAGTATCTGTTTGTTGGAAGCGATGCAAAACATTCACAGGGAAATTTCTCATTTCTTAGTCTTGATTCTCTGAATTCTCTTCTTCATATATAATGCATATGTACATCTACATATGCACATACATGAAATACAGATAAAATTTTATATTAATTGTATATTTTTGATATTTTCATGAGTGTATATAAATTTACCTTATCTTTTAAAGATAGTAATGATGATCTCAGGTGACTTTTAATTGAAATCCAGACAACTAGTCAGCAGGCAGATTTCTGTGACCATATGTTCTCAGTGGTTTTGCTTTCTCACCATGACCTTGGGAACACATTGGTTTTTAAAGGTAGCCTCAAGAAGTTAGGAAGCCAGTTTTTTTTTTTTTTCACTCAGGCTCTGGCCTCTGTTGTAGAAAGAAAATGAAACAGAAATCAAGTTGGTTTTCTGTCCAGCAATAAACCGATATTTTTAGAAATGAGGCACCCCGTATAACTGGGATCAGTGTCCACTAGAACTCGGCAGTGGACCCTCCTTCCATAGGCCTTTTCTCCAGCCCACTAGGATAAGTGAGCCATCAGTGCAGCTGGCCTGGCTGATTTGTTGATACACCCGACTAGCAGGAAAGTTCTTCAACTAATTCACTTACGATAAGGGAATGGCTTCTCAAAGGCAAAGCGGGGAAAGATCTTGCGCTTCTCAGTAAGCCTGTCCAAATTGTCTGCAGACCACTCGAGGATGAAATTGAGTCTAACACTACAGCATGTATTACTAAGAGTCGACTAGCCAGTAAATATTTAAAGGGTCTAAGCTAAGCTTCTCCATCATTTACCTGCATTTTGTTTGGATGACAAGAAGTGGCAGAGTGCACTGCGAAGTAAGATTAGGTGCTTGAAATGTGTCTCTGGAGATGAAATGCGTATTTCCTGAGGCGCCCTTCATTGTGGGGAAATGGTAGGGGACAGACTTCCTGAAGGGTTTTCCACTTGGCTGCATGATTAAGTGTTCAGAGAACTATATAATTGTTAATATACTTTAAAAAAACATTCCGGTGTAAATAATTTCCTTATTTAAACTTCACAATGTATAATATTTAAACACTTGTCAAGCAATAACTCACTGGTAGCAGAAAACTATATAAGTCTACCAGCAGGATTAAGGATGTTAAGGCTGCAGTTGACTGATGTCTGGTTTTCTTGAAGAGGGATCTTAACACTGAGGTATAATTTGTGAAAAAGAATCACAGTTCCAGTAATTTGAATAACTGTATGGGGAACTCCAAATCTCTCTCAGTTTGTTCTGTTTTATTTTGAACTATTTTGAAAACAAGGTATGAAGTGTGTTTAAATTCTCAGTTCATATGTGTATGCATGTATGTAGTATGATTCCTTTTTAAAGTAGAAGTTTAAAAATGGAAATGTATGCCTTGACTGTACTCTGTGAGATCTGTCATGGGCTTGAGCATACTGCCCAGGTATCATACAATGCTAATGTCATTCGTGTTAACAGTATCAGAAGGAAGCACTATCTATCCATCATGTGTGGGGACTAGAAGGAATTTACTAGGAGATCAGTATTTGCCATCACATTTGTCATGGATTATAAATCCAAGCCTAATTTACAAGAGTTTAAGGCCTTTCACCCAAATATAAAAAGTGACCTATTAAATTTAACGAGCCTTCTTTATCGGGATTCATCTTGTAAATATGCCATGTGATTAAATGCAATGAAAGGGAGATATGGGCAGTATTTAAAATGAGTTGAGAGTGTGTGTCATAAGAGATAAGGGCTCTGGAGTTTGCAGAGAACTCTGAGACCAAGATCAACTGGATATTCAAGTGACAATAATAAAAACATCAAAATAACACTAAGAGCAGTATATTACTGTCACAGTGACTGTGATTAGGGCTCTGTGGAGGCCCATTATGGAAAGCTACTTCTCTGGCCTGGGTAAAGACCTAACATTCCAAGTTATCCAGAACTTAAAAGAGTCAATGGTGAATCATTCACCTGACTAAGGAATCACCTCGCAAGAAGGTGGTTCCATTTTAAGCCATGCTCATGAAATAGGAGGAATAATTATTCCTTTCAGAAGATAATATACTCTTCTTTCCCAGAATTCCCACCCCCTAGTACAGTCACATACAGAGCTGCAGCCATTCTGTTTTATAAGTTTGCCTGCTTTTCTAATACTCAGAGAAGCACAACCTTTCCTTTTATTCTTTCTGTATCATTTGTAAGCATGCTTTCCTAACACTTTAGGTCTTACTCTACCTCTGAACTCCATTCTACACTGGAACTGCTTGTCTGCTATAAGGATAACTTCTATGCTGACTTAATTCAAATGACATGGCTTTCTCTCTCCTTTTCATCTTTTTCTTCCAGGTAACTGCCAACATTTACAACTTGTTGCACTGGGGTATTTCTTTTAAACTCTAATAATATTGTCCTTGGGATTTCTTCTGAGTATATTCTTAAATCCTTCTATTAATAAGACTAAAAAATCCCACAAAGAGGACTCCAATTTCCCCAGTAACTTACAATAATTCTGGCAGGACTCATAAATTTGATATTATCATGGTGGAGAAACACTTCAAACCAATGAAATAATAGGCATAGAAATATTTGTGTAGAATGGAAAGACTCTGAAGTTATGTTAGAATACTGCACAACAGTTAAATGACTTATAATTTCATTTGAGGAAGAAGAGAAAATGTTACAGATTGAAAATTTGATTAAACCCAGACCAAGATCCTGTTTCTAGCATTAACATTAGACTCTGCTGTTTTGAAACAATCATTAAATAGATATACCATATAATTCAGCTATTATACTTCTGGGTAGATAACCA